CTCTTTCCGTGCTAAAAACTTTCACAATATTTAAAGATCCCATTATCATGAATAGAGTTGTGCCAATATATGATAGGTCTGTATTGTAAATTACTACCTCTTAAAATAAACTTAAGCAATTACCACATTGAAATACATACCTGATAGCTTAAGAGTAGGCATAGTCTAGAAATGCAGATAATGTTTGGTATGATAAAGTGTCTTCGTTAAGAGAAGGGAAAGCTGCCTGCACAGCTGGCGTGTGGAAGTCACAGCTGCCAGGCCAAATCCTGCCTCAAGCATGACACAAGCAGTGCCATCGATCCAACGGAGCTTGTTTGTGTAGATTACGCCTAGCGGGCTTGGTTCTAGGCAGAAAACCTAAATTTAACTTATTTTCAGAAAATAACACCCAAGGTTTCTCCCTACCACCTTTTAAGCAGGAAGGTTTATTCCGAGTGCTTCAGAAGAGGAAAAGCTAGTTTCTGGAGCTATTTGGAGTATTTTGCAATGTACATGTTGTTCCAGTGTCCCTATTTAATAATTTTGTAAACCTATCTCTGAGATAGCACTTCATATATTTTCCTGAATCGATGAAACACGATAGAAATACCAGCTGTCCTATTCACGTATCTGTACAAAACAACTGATCCGTGGAAGTATATTAATCAATATCAGAAGCACACGTTTAATGTTTTCCAACTCTAACACTATATTGATGAGCTTTTACCAGGGAGGGGTCCAAGTTTAAGCCATGACTAATTCTGGCTCCAGGGAATGTGTGATTTCAGCCCAGTTTTATCTTTTGCTCAGCAAAAAAGTCCAGGATAAATGGCTGGAGTTAGGATAGCCACTCAAACTAACTGCCCCCACGATTTTTAAAGCGACTTTTTTTGTTTCAGGTAGTCGGGAATCTGCTTTTGTACATGCCATCTCCTCCGCTGGAGTTGTTTTTGCCATCACCAGGGCATGTAGCCAAGGGGAGCTGAAATCCTGCTCCTGCGATCCCAAGAAGAAAGGCTCTGCCAAGGACAGCAAGGGCCATTTTGACTGGGGTGGCTGCAGCGATAACATCGACTACGGCATTAAATTTGCCAGAGCCTTCGTCGACGCCAAAGAACGGAAAGGAAAAGATGCAAGAGCGCTGATGAACCTTCACAACAACAGAGCTGGAAGGAAGGTGGGTGCCCATCCAGCAGATGCCTGGAGATGCCCTCGGTGAGCTCTCCCGGCTCTGGGGCAGGTGATGGTTGGCCCTTGCTGACTGGTCTCAGGAGTTTGGAAGCAGTATGGGCTGAGCGGGAGCCTGAGGTGCCGTTTCTGTCTCCCTTGGAGGTTCAGTGTGGCAGAGGTCTCCAAACAGGTGGAGCGCAACTGCTTAGCAGTGCTCCCGTCGGAGTCAGCTCAGTGGCTCCTGGTGTGGGAAGTTCAGCCTGAGCCCAACTCGTTGCAGGATCAGTTTGGATGGAGGTTTTGTTTTGAGCCTAATCCTTATATATGGAAGAGGTTTACTTTTGGCGAATATAGAATAGAAATTCCTAAGGGAAGCTGAAGACCACAGTGAAGAACGGGCTTGGCTATTAAAGAGCAAATTCAAAATAGCATTGGAGAAAAAAAACATCCCATCCATTCCTGTATGTATACTGTAAACCTAAACACAAAATGAGCAGAGATAAAACACAATTACTTCACTTTTCGAGAAAATAAATCTAAAATACATGTCCCTTCACAAGGCATTGGCCTTGGGGTATGACCTGCTCTAAACAAAACCCTTCTCTAAACATTGTATGAAAATACCATTCCTGAATTTCAACAAGAAGAGTCTTTACTTTTTTATTGTAGGTGAGTAGAAGGAGTAGTTGCCAGGCCTATTGCCCACTGCTGGTGCAAGGACTGAGGAATACATGCACTAACATTTTGTGGTGGTAGCCAGAAATAGTAAGAACAGTGCATGAAACTGGAACAAACTGTTTCGTTATTCAAAACATATTCAAAATTTGCTGCATCCACAACATCTGAAATAACACAGAAAAATATTTTATAGTGCTAGAACAAGCACTTCTAAAATGATTCGTAGAGACTTCTTGTTTCTTGTCTTTGGTTTTTCTTAACATATAGTCAGTAGAAAGCCAATTGTTCATATTCTGATCTTTTTGTATTAAAAAGTTCCCTTTATAGACTGTACAATTGCTCTGTATTAACTAGCCCTTATTAGAAGAAAAGATCTGATTTAGATGAATTGTACTGCAAGTAGATGATTTTTCTGATAAATATTTCTCCTTCAACATCTTTCCTCCACCTGTTTATTACCAGCAGGTGTAATTCATATGTAATATAGACAGATGAGGCTATTCAGATCAGTGATATGCATATGCAATACTATGACTATATCGATGTTACTCTCCAAAAGAGACACAAGCAAAGACTTTATAGGGGTGAATTAGCTCCATGCTGGGAAGTACTTTCTGAAATAATTGTCTTAGTAAGTTTAAAGAAATACATATACCAAATAACAAGAGAGTATTGGTAAGCAGGTAGGGTTTTTTAGAAAAAGCTCGAGAGACTTTAATAAATATATTTGATTAAAAATAATCAACACATTCATATATGCTCTAGACCTGCTTTGTAGAAAGGGATGCTGTTTTGTATCCACAGTGCAATGGTGTAGGTTTAGCTTTGCAGGGATCTCAGTACCTCAGCCCACCCACAAGTCTGGCATTTGGATCTGGGTAAGACCGGCTGTGCTCTTTGCTTTTTCTCACCTGCAAAAGGGGTGTTGATAGGTTTCTTTTAAAACTAGACTATTCAGATTTTACTAATTCAGAAATACACAGAATAAATATTTGTAATATTCCCATATGAGTCACACAAAATAATATGCTGTGTATCAGTATAGGAACATCACTGACAAAAAAGCAGTCCTGCATTCCTGTGTGCTTCTTCCACTATTCCAGCAAATTGTTTTAAATGTACAAGTAGTCAAACTGATTCCTACTCAGATAATTAAAACCAAGCATCCACTTAAATCCCAGTTTCGTGATAGTACCTTTGGCAATGAAGTGGGGCTGTGGGAATGTCAGTGACTTCTTTGAAGTAGTTGTAACGTTTACAAGTTGGAAAGAAAATTGAAAGTACTTTGGTTTTATAACACATTCTGGCTTTATTGCTGAGCGCTTGATTGAAAAATGCTGCCCCACTGTGCATCAGTCTCACTTCTAATCATGGAGCTTTCCTCTCTCACCTTCCTCCCATGATGCTGTTCCTCTTGTACAAACTCTAAAACGTTCATATTTCATGAACCCTTAAGGCACAATATTTATAGATCAAATATCCATATCTTCAGAATTAGGAATGAATTATTTATTGTATATGAACCCATCTGTTGTTCTCCAACATCATACAGATAGCTTAAATGTCTGAGATGAAGCTGAAATGGCTTTAATGCTATCCAGACATTAAATTAATGATGAAGGTGATCTCTCCAGTGCAAGCTAATGAAGGTCTTACTCTAAAATGTTTGTTAAAAGGCTTATAAGCGTTTTAAAAATACCATACTTTAAAATTTTGCATAGATCGGATGCCTAGCCCAGGTACGATGCTTTGCACAGTCTCTGTAAAATCATTTAAATATGAAATGCCTAGGAATTTCTGGGCAATATTTGAAACACTATTCAGGGCAAAGGGCAACTTCATGAAGGCAAGCTAGAGAGGGTCAGCATGGCGATGCTTCAGCTGGAACGACGGGGAAAGGGGGTACCTTCGCCTACCAAGGCTCTGAGCAATTCTGTCCATTTCCCAGATCGTTTCCTCCTGTCCAATCTGTGTCCTGGCCTTATGGACCATCCCGATCCTCGGGATGACTGGCAGGAGCAGGGAAGGTAGGCCCACCAGCCGGAGGATTGTGCGTACGGTTGAGTCCAGCAACCAACCATGTGGGGATGACTTGATGCTACCAGAGGGTGTCACTACAGACCGTGATTTGGAGCCCCACTGCGAGCCTGGCATTACAGGGTGAATGGAAAAGGGCTGAGAAGCATAAATTACCGTTTGTTTTACCTGTGTATATTTTACTGCGTTTCTAAACAGGCCGTGAAGCGGTTTTTGAAACAGGAGTGCAAATGTCACGGTGTGAGTGGATCGTGCACTCTAAGGACCTGTTGGCTGGCCATGGCAGACTTTAGGAAAACAGGAGATTATCTGTGGAAGAAATACAATGGAGCGATTCAGGTGGTCATGAATCAAGATGGCACGGGTTTCACTGTGGCTAATAAGAGATTTAAGAAGCCAACTAAGAATGACCTGGTATACTTTGAAAGCTCTCCAGACTACTGTATCAGGGACAGGGATGTAGGTAAGCCTCTATTGTTACACGTGAATGGTTTTATTTAAGACATTTGTACTTTGAAGGTCAAAAATTATCATTATTATTGTGTGCGTGTGTGTATATATCTATATATTTAAAAAAAAAAAATCCATGCATGTAACCAGCCGGAAACAGGCAGGAAGATGTTTTGGAAGGACAGCTCTGTACAGGAACGATAGCTCCTTGATGCCCATAGATGTATGGCAGCCAGCTGTTCTAATATAATTCAGCAGTTTCTTCCAGATGCTATGGAGCCCTGGAGACGTTGCAAGGCAAAAACTGGTTTTAGGACAAGTTTGAGTCATGCTCTGGAGGTGGGTCCATACCATACACAGCCACATACACGCTTGTATCACACAGCTCACTCCAGAGCTGCCAGATGTAACTAGAGCAGCCCCAAGTCCCGTGATGTCCCTATGATACCACCTCCTGTCGCATTGCTTCTCTTCCATATTGTTATGCCACTGCTGCAGACCTCCTTTATCTGCATGTTCCCTGCAGCTCACTGCGGACCATGAACCTCCTAGTTGTAGACACACCTTTCCCCATCAGTAATGTCGGAGGTACAGCAGCTTGGTGCAAACCACGCTTGCACCGGTCAATGCAGCTGTCGGTAACGTGGTGCAAGGCAGCTGGAGGACGGGCGTGCAGGTGGATGAAAGCGTAGAAGTTGGTGGGGCACAGCACACTGCTTCGAGTGACACAGCTGTTCATCCCTCCTTACAAGACAGTGCTGGCTCCATCCATGATAACCATCACATTTTCTGAAGAGTTGTGCCAGCCCCAGCGGAAAGAGGTAAAGTTTCAGGGCTGCTATTAACACTGAATTTTTCCACTGCCAGGAATTTCAGTAGAGACACACTTAACAGCGTTACAGGATTCGAGGCATTGCCAAGCACCCGGAATCCTGCTAACGGTTCTTGACCCGTGTATAGTATTTCCTGATGTGGCAATTAAAAACTAGCAGCTAGAAACCCAGAAATTTGGAAAAGAGAGCCAGGCTGAGTAATGTACAAAAGATGTTGTGGAACTAATTAATAGGTTGTATAACGTACCAGATTGCACCCGGTATGACATATCTGTAAGTATCTGGATAGCAGCTCAACTCTTTTTTGGCACCGCTGCATATTTACAATCCAAGTTGACTTGGAATAAGCGTTGCAAAACAACTGTACTTAAATAAGAACAATATGTGAAATCCTGGTCATGTACTATTGACTTCAGTGAACACAGAATTTCATCCAGTACGCTTATGTTGTACAGTGTTTTTGGTTAGTTGAGTAGTCAAGGTAATTTTAAATGTTATTTATGGCTTTTGCAGGTGACGCTCATTCCCTGCACAAGCACATACTGTTCCTTGAATAGTGACCGATACTGTAAAGTCTAATACTTTAATCCAAGTGAATAAATGGGCATATTGTGGCATTGTGCAGAGACTAACTTTGCAGACTAGGATTGATTCAAAACTCTGTTTCTTGAAGTTGCCTTGTTCATTGTAGAACCTGTGCTTTCCCCCAGAAAGGAGAGCCCATACACGACCCACTCCTATGTCAAAAGGCCATTTAATAATCTCTTTGTACTAAGCCTAATCTCATCGGCCAGTCTTGTTATCGTGGAGAAGAGTGGGCATTTTTTACCGCAGTGTATTATGTGCACTTGCCTGACGCTGTCAAGCCTGCCCAGAGATGGCAGAGTCTGGCATGTGCTTTGGCTCAGCTTAAGATAAGGCTGCAGATGAGGCAGTGTTTCTTTGCTGCCCAGAATTCAGAGAATGTGGCTGTTTGGAAGAGCACAGTTTTGGCAAGCTGCAGTAAACCTTTAATGGGATGCAGGATGCCCTGCTGCCCGCATGGAGCAAAGAAAGAATCAGATGAACAAAAACTGATCTGGCTTTGAGAGAGGTAATTTCAGCAGCTGAGCAGCATTTTTTCTTTATTACCTTTGGTTTGCCCTGTTGAGCGCTCCAGAGTGTCAGCCCTGTTAAGTGACTGGAAATGAAATGAGATTATGGAAGTCTGAGTTTGGAAACAGGTGGGGAGCATCTCAGCGTCAGCTAAATGTAATACCACAGTGCTTTAGTATGTCCTTGAATACAGTTCTGCCTTTCATTCACTGGGGAATTCGAGCAATTTAGTGCTTCAAGAAAAAAAAAAAAGTATATCTGCAGATTGGATAGTATTGGGACTGAATGAAGGATTCCCAGAGCAAACCTTATGAAGCGTCACGACTTCACCAGGAGACGTCTTCACAAACTGTAAAATGACCAAGCCAGTGTCCTCCATGGCTCGGGCGTACCAACACATATGAACCAGTAAATTAAAGGTGCTCAGGGGTTGTATCATCAGTGGCCTATCCAAAAAACTATGCATCTCGTCTTCTGCTATTGGGGATTTTAGAGGTGGCTCTTCTCTCTGGTGGCGGGCCCTGCAGGGTGCTGGGACTGAATACACCCCACTGGGTCTGGCAGCTTGTCTGGGGGAGGTAGCTGGACGTACATACATGAATCATGTGAAAAATGTGGTGTTATTATTTTTTCCTAGAAGGAAAAGAGGAGTCATTGCTTTTGGGAGTGAGATAATACGTGGAAAACACTAATAACAACTCAATAGCAAGAGAACGTAATAACCCAACCACCTCTGGTCTAGCATTAAGATTTCACGACTTTTAGAAAAGGACCAAAGGAAGATTTTCAGAAGTGTTCAGAATTCACTTAACTCTGCTCACATGGATGCCGAAATAATTTTTACTCACAATTTTGTACTCATAGTTTGATAGAAACAGACATCCCAGAGGACTTTTGAAAATCTTGTCATGAACTTACAAATTTTGCCACACTTTGAGTGGTCTTTATATTATCATAAATTTCCAGCTCCCAAAACCAATACAAGCATACCCAAGCCTACACAGGGCGAGACCTATTAGAAATGATAAAGCTGTGAAGGGAACTAAAGTGATGGCTACACAAGTGGCAGTCCTGCTGTAGCATGTACTCTCTTACCCTGAATGCATAACTTCTCCGAAATGCTCTAAAAAACCTCTTGCTTGTCTGCTTATAATTTTCTGTTAGAAGCATTTTAAGTTTTAAAAGATTGCTATTTGACCATCCATGCAGGCTAGGTTGATTGAAAGCTGTTGCAAATTTACCGTATTTTGAACGTGCCGGTGGACAAGCAGAGACTGCTTTAGGAATAAACACTCAAGCAGCCGTAGTGTGGGCATCACCAGCTTGCTGGACAAGCTTTCGTTGCAGTCTGGTGTTCATAGAGACTGTTAAAGCAGTGTAATGTCTACCTGCAAAAGAAAACATTTTAGAACGGGTTTATTAAAAATTCATTTGTACAGAGCAACGAAAAAACATAGGCACTGTTTGAGTGAAGCCTCTTCCTGCAGGGAAACCCCCACCAAAGTGTGTAGAGCAAGCAGAGCTCAGCTATGCATGTTGAGGTGGTGCATATGAGCGAGGAGGTTGTGTCCTCAAGCGTGGACACCAAGGTGGAGGTGGCGGGCAAGCGGCAGGATGGTGTTGGTGAGCGCGTGTTGACTGTTCGCAACTGTTCTGGTAGCAACGAGGCTTTGGCCATGTGGAGATAGTGGTGGAGCAGAGGCAGGTCGTGTCTACGTGTAGATGGTCTTGAGCTGCTGCAGCTGTCCCTCAGGACCTGCTGCAAACCCATGCGCCATGTGCTTCAAGTCATCCGTAGGTTTCTCCCAACACTCACATGGTCCCATTTTGGGTGCTGTCAAAGCCAGCATCTCTGCCTCTGCCTGCATGTAGGGTGTGGGTTGTAGACCTGGATTACGGTGGCCATCTCCTGTGTACCCAACAGGCAGACAGGTGCTGTGGCTGTGTCTGAGGACCCTCCACACCTGGTCTCCTGGTGGAAAGCACTGTGGAAGTGCATGTGCAGTGCTATGGGCAGCTCCTGGGAGCTGCGTGTTGGGTGACAAACAACATGTCCAGGATGACCTGCTTTGGGTCCTACACAGGATTATTTTTGTGTTCATTTCTCTGCTGCCCCACGTAAGCCATTTCCTGCATTTTTGAGATGAATGAGGCCAAGTCCAGAGTGAAAGAAAAATGTGAAATTAAAACGTAGCCTGCAAAGTATTGGTGTTGGGCAAGATGCGTTACTACTTGAGGTATGTAACCCATGGAGGGAAACCAATCCTGATCTATGTCAAAAACTTCTCACTGAGGTTAGCTGCACGCAGGCAGTCCCTGTGTGACTTCTTGGCCTGTGTCTCCCAATTTACAGATTGCAAACATGTTGGGTGCAGTCCCAGCCCCGTGCAAGCTGACAGTGGAGCTTGCGATGACTTCCATCAGGGCAGCTCTCCTCCAAGCAGCATCCGGCAAGGGAGCAGCACAATCGCCCCAAGAGCCTCTGGTTGCTGAGAGGTTATGACAGCTCTCAGTGGCTACAGAAATTAGAGCGAGGAACATTTGCTCTAAACTGATCTGGATAAGCTGTTTTTATCAGCACGTTGCTGTCTCTTTGTTGCTGGCCTGGGAAATCCCAGCCCCTCTGGCCAAGGCTGAGTCCGGTGCACGCTGCTTGTCCTCTCCAGCCCTGCTGTACCGAGGTGTTGTATGTGAAATGTGAATGTTTCTTGGTTTGAAAAGTAGCTTCTGAGCTACTTTTCTGTGAATATTTTTCTTTTTTTTTTTTTTTCCCAAACACTCATGTGGAAACTAGTTTATTGTTGTTGGGGGTTTCACTGCCTTTTTTTTTTTTAGATGAAAGTCAAGCAATGAACTTTATCGCTTGAAGCCAGATTTTTAATCAATAGAAATAGAAGGGAAACTCTCATGTTATAAAGGAATAAATACACTTTAGTGCTTTAGGAATGGAGAAAAAATATTTTTCAACTTACCATATGTTTGCTTAAGAAAACAACTGCACAAACCAAGAAGAAAGAGTTTGATGTATGGGCCGTAAAGTTGGCAGTATTAAAAGCTGTGGATGTTTTGGCAGGTACAATGTAGTGTGTCGGCATGGCAATTCCAACACTTGAAATAAAAACAAAGAGGTTGCACGAAAACCTTCTACAAGTTAGAACATACTCCTGCCTCTTAAGTGATGAGGAGGTGCATTACAAGGTAGCAGGCAAAGCTCAGAAAACTCTGCCGCATTTTGTTTAGTGTCTTCTGTTGTCTCCATCACCTGGCTATGTGAATGCCCCCAAGGAGCGCAGTAACTTGCCTGGCTGCTCGCTGTCAGTTATTGCTCGTTTTCTTTCTCATGAGAGAAGCCGCAGAGATGCTGAAGATGCTGTTTGAACTTTTCAAAAATGTTGGTTTTGCTCAGAAACTAAGCCTTTACGTGAGCCTGTTTTCTCTTTCGTCATGTTCTGTGGATAATTTAGTTTCCTCTCCTAGTGACATAGTAAATGTTGATGTTGTATTGTGGGTAGTATCAGGTGATACTGGCTTCTGACTACCTGTTAGGAGGTGAAATAATTTTGGTTTTGAAGTCAGTGGCAAAACTCCCATTGAAGCCAGCAGGCATATTCTGCTCAGGTTCTCCTTCGCTGCTGTGCAGTTTCCCCAAACATCTGGAAATGAGAACTTTGGAGTTGGAAACTAACTTGTGCCTCAGCTGAGGAATGCGGTCAGACCTTCCCGGGGCAGCTCCTGCACCTCATCACAGCCCAGCGTGATGCCCCGTGCCTGGCCTCACACGGCGGGGGACGTGGGGTCTTCCTTCCACCCCAGCAGCCAGGCGGCATGGCCCCGCTCCGCTCCCGGTCAGGAGGGTGCTGAGGTGGGGAGCGGCTATGCTTTGCCTTCGCTGGAGGAATGACACCATGCAATGGTGGCACAGCGAAGGCTATCGAGCGTCCAGCTCATTTCGCACAAACCACATGCAGAGAGCAAAGCACCAAGTGGTTTGAAATCTAACCCAAATCACGGTTGTCGGAGATTATCATCCTAGACGTGCTGCGTTACACAGCCCAGGCTCTCCAGGACTTTGGGGCTGGGCTTCATCAGCGGGGTAAAGCAGCACGCAGAGCAAGGGAGGTGAGGGGGAGCCCGTGCAGGGACGTAAGCAGGAATTCACACCAAATTCCCAACGCAGAATAGTAATCATACGAGTCGCGAGCTTGGCCTTTGTACCGTTTTTTTGTCTGAGCAGAGAGGGCAGGACGAGCGCCTATAAAAGTGGTTATTCAGTTGTATTTTGCAGTCTGGGATGCAATGGATATTGCTGTGGGCTGACACAAGCACCAGAACTTACGTTCAGATGCCCCAGCTGTTTGCACAGTGTCACGGATGGAGGAGAACGTGGTAGCTGGGAAGCAGGGTTTGGTTTGTTTTCTGCCACAGGCTTCCTACAGGACCACGGGTGGATCATGTAGCTCTGCATCCGCCCCACTCCTCAGCCCTGCCTAGACTGGGGGCAGCGGGGGCCACTGGAAGTCTCTCTCCCCCAGGGTGGAGCCATTCCTGGAAAAAGGATCAGGGAAAGGCCTTTTGGCATCACAGTTTTGCCCATTGTGCAGGTTGCCCCAGTGCAGCTGTCCTTGCAGGGAGAGTTGCGTGGCAGAGGGCTTGCTAGGGGTGGTGTGCGCCCGTGTGGGTCATTGCTGGTGGTACTTCTCCTCCTCCCTGGGACCCTCTGCACCAGGATTCAGGTGCTGCCACTGGCCGTGGGGACAGGAGACCGGGAATTACTGCAGGTTCCCTGGTGCAGAGCATGCCCGATGTCACTGGTTCTTACACCAACTTGAGGTGCTCCTCAAATAGCAGAGACTCACTTTAAAGTGCCATTCAGCTGCATCCCCAAGGATGCTACACAGAGCACTGGTCCATGGGCAGCAGCATGAGCAGGGTTGGACCCTGAGGAGATCTGGGATGTGCCAGGCTGCAGGTGCAGGAGCCCATCCCTGGCTCTGTTCAGCGTGTCTTCCCCTCCCTCTGCCTTTTCCCTTTCAGGTGGCTCAGCGGGTCTCCACTTGGCCGGTGCCACAGCACCTTCGTGGCTCAGGACTCCCGAGCCGTGGCCGGTGTCTCCGCCGTCGGCAGCAGCTGGC